AGAGAGAGAGAGAGAGAGAGAGAGAGAGAGAGAGAGAGAGAGAGAGAGAGAGAGAGAGAGAGAGAGAGAGAGAAACCCCCATGGGCCAAAATACGGAACATGCGCAAAAATCCCCTCGGGCCAGAAGCGTCAGTCTAATCGACCGAATTCGTTCTTGTAGCAAAACGCTAGCCACCCCAGATCGGGTAGCTAGCCACTCCATAAGAATAAATAAGTCGTTTTTCACTAACTAGTATGTTTAGTTTTAATTGTTGTTGGTTTGAGATGCTTCTTTTCATTTGGAAAAAAAGAAGGAGGGGTGGGGGTGGGGGGTGGAGGTTGATCTTTGAGATTTCTCTGGAGGGTTAAAAAATCATTTGTATGTAGAAGTTTGTTTGTTGTTGTTTTATCTCTGTGCTGTTTCTCAAAATTAGAAATGCAGATTGTTATCATCCTATTTTCACAAATCATGTAAGTTAAATTGGGTGTAAGTATTTTGATAATTGTGTACAGTTTTGCTCTGTTAACTTCGCGGAAGTATTGAATTACATTGCAGATCTGACAAGTACATTTGTGTAGGCCTAACGTTCGGAAATTATGTGTAAGGTTACCTTGTCTACGTCGAATATCTCACAATCTGCCTGAGGTGTCGCTGGAATTTGTCTGTTGTAGGCCTATATGATCACCTGGGTGCGGATTTAAATTGTCTTGACATTGCGGACTTTCGTCCTTCAAACTTCCCACGCTTGCTTTCGCTTTCTCATTCTCGGGGCGGGGAATTCCTTCTTCTTTTCCCCTCCATACATCGTATTGACATGTACATGAATTACAACTTAAAATACAATTTAAAAAACAATGCAGTGCTGTATGGATCTAGGATCTACTCTACCCAATGTTCTGTGCGGACAATAAAAATTGGGGAACATTGGAAAGCAAGGATTGAGATACAATGCAGGCCTTTTCTGTTGGCGTATGTTCTAAATAAATAGAGGTTAAAGTTTCAGAAGTTACTCGTGTTTCATTTTTGTTGTTGGTGTGGCAATCTTATTCATAGCCTTAATTATAATGTAGCCTACTACAATAATGCCCTGTAGATGTACATTCGTCGATCATTGGACACGTCTTTACGCACCCACTATGACCCACATAGTTTAGATCGTTCAGGAGGAGGCGGGCTATTTCAATCCTGTCTGTCAGGTCAGAGCTGAGCTTGGTTTGAGTGAGATACTAGATCCCACATACAGATGCACATGTAGGCCTACATGAACAATGCACACACACACGCACGCACGTGCACACACACACACACACACGCGCGCGCGCGCGCGCGCGCGCGTTGTATATTATACGATATAATAAGGCCTTAATGGGAATCGAACTCTTTCTTGCTAGCAAAATAAAGAGAGAATCTTGACAACTACTACACCTCCGACTGGCAAAGACTGCTGCTACTTACTGTTCAATGGCTGCATCATGGGTGTGTATATCTTAGGTTTACAATTTACATCGGACTTGGGCTTCTTTACTGCTTGCTGTTATAAACATTATATTGAAATCTTTTTTTTGTCCATGCTTGGCTGTGATATGTTCTACATAAACTACTACACATGTATACATGTACTGTTCACGAACGTGTCTTATAGCGTATAAATCGTGTGTATATAAATATAATAGATGTAACATAATGCACGTGTGTACTCCTTTTGTTGAGTCACGAACTGATGTTGGCAATAGGCCTACACGTATGACATTGACATGCTTATGTGCAATGCATCTACTTAAGTACTTTTTTGTCATTTGATGATGATGTAATAAACGTTGAGACAACCAAAGCGGGACTTTTACTTTTTTTAAATTAAAAAAAACCATTATTATTATTATTATTATTATTATTATTATTATTATTATTATTATGTTTTTGTGATTTTACATGCACAAATGTATTGCTGTTTCACTATACATACAACATTTTAATAAATTAGTAGTACAATGTGGGTTCTGCATGTGTGCCACAAACTCAGTGCATCCTCCCAATCCCCCAAAATTATCTAACCAAGAAAAGAATTTTATCCCGTGCCTTTTTCTGTGGTGTAAGGCAATATAATGTTCGTTAGACGGAATCAAACTCAACTTTTCTGAGAGGAAAATAACGATAGAAAAAAACCTAACCGACATAATAATATGTACTCTCCCTCACATAAGTTTTATTTTGGTAAGTGTTTTACGGCGCTCGCGACTACATAAGGTCATGGTCATATAAGCGCACAGAAAACATTAGACATTAATTTTTCAGTTGGTAGAAAATTTTGAATTTTGCCTGGGTGGCGGCGGAAGTCTACTCTTATCAATTTCGGATCACCAAGGGATCTTTATCGTGAGCAACTTGCACACGGGGACCTCCGAGATTTTTCGCCCTTGTCCGAGAAGGCTATGTAGATCTTTCCTTCCAGAAGATTAGGGACAGCAGTAAGAAGGAGCCAAGGGGTAGCAATAGAAAGGCTGCAGAAAGAGTCAGGATCCCAGAGGCGGGGACAAGGGAGGAGGGGGTGGGGGCAGAAAGTGGAGACGAAAGCAGACGACAGAACATTGCTAGAGAGCAGGGAAGGGGGTGAAAGGAGACAATTTTTAGAGAAGAAAATGTTTCCATCGCTTCCCGGATTCGAACCCGTGACCTTTGAATGAGAGGCCAACACCTTAACCTCAAGGCCACGAGAGGGGGGGGGGTCGGGTGTACATTACATGTTCGGTGTGTATTACCATTGGTTCTGACAGTACCACAGAATTCTACTCTTATAGAACGGGAACTGTACCACGTGGCCTGTGAGGAATTGAAGACCGAAAACAATGGCGTCTTGAGGGCACTATTTATCGTTTTCGGAAGTAACCCTATAGCGTTTAAAGCAAGAGCGGCTTTTACAAACGAGTGAAAAGTGGAACATTTACTGTCCAGTTTGTAATTTTGAGTTACAGAATTCACTGTGCAACCTAGAGACTGGAATTAAGGTTTTAAATTGTTATGTTTTTTGGTGCAACAACAGAAAAAGCAGACATAGAGAGTTTATAAATATAAGATCTACAGAACTGTGAAAAAAATTGTAACACGGATGGGATTGTTCACAGCACTTCTAGCTTCCCACACACATTTTGCATACGCATATGGCCTACGTAATTTTTTAGTAGCAAAACTTGTTACAAGAAATTTGTTTTACACTGAACATATTTTTTCACTAGATCTAATTAATATTCTCAAAACATGCGTTCAATGATTAGCTTTATGTCGCCAGCAGAAGTAGAAAAAAGGACGGACTTGCTTTTAAAAGAGATTTAGCTCCAGCTATAAACTTTTTAAAAATCTGTAGAAACCATTGACTGGGATTTTTAAAAAAATATTGGGCTAGTATTTATTAAAGAATTTTCTTCACATAAATTTTTAGAATAATATAGAACC